CAGCGCCTCCCTCGGGGACCCCGCACGCACGCGCGCGCTCTCCTCTGCTCGCTCGTCCCTCAGGTCTCCTCGCGCCTCACCTTCACTGAGTCTACCGGGTACATGACCATGTGCTCCATGATCCCGGCCATCGCTCCGGCTGTCATGTGGGTGGATAAGGAGGCGCTGGTCGGCAGGTTCTCATAGTCCTCCGACCCGGCGTCCTTGCCGCCGCCGCCGCCATCTCGGCAGTCCCCATCCATCCTGCGCCCCACAGCCTGGCTCCCCATGCCGCCGCAGCGCAGCTCCATCCGCCAGCTCCACCGCCGCGGGAGGCTGCAGGAGGTGGGCAGGGAGGGGGAGGGGGGAAAACTTCACTTCTTAAAGTGGGAACCACCTCCCGGGTGCTACGGCGCCTGACGCCATGGCGGGCTGGGGTGGAGCGGAGGGGCCCGAGACACCAATCACTGGAAAAGAAGAGGCCCGCGGCGGCCGCGCCATTGGTGTGCGGGCCAGTGAGGACCCGCCTCCCTGTGTGACGTCACTGTCCAGTGCAAATTTCCAAGCAACCGGAGGGGGGCGAGGAGAGACGTTGGGGAGTCCCGGGAAGTTGTACCACCTCAAGGCTGGTGCTGCCTCCCTTGGGGCAGGCAGTGGGGGGGGTCCCTGGAGAGGGTCCGCCTGGCCCCAGAGGCGCTATGCATAGGGTTGCAGGGGGAGCAGGAACACAGGCTCAGGGGAAATGGCCCCCAGAGCCCAGGGTTTTGCAAACAGTACTGCTCAGCAAGCTTTGGCATTCCTCAGGCCTGGAGGTGACTGCAAATGTCGCTTATGGAGCAATTATGGTGGCTAGATGGGGAAGGGAGTGGCGTTGGAGAATTGAGGACATGCTGCGTCATAGCAGCGATGCACCTACTTTTGTGCAACACGAGGGGACAGAGTTGAAACTCAAGGTCCTGTGATAGGCTGCTTGGTAGGGGAGATTACCCATATATTTGAAATGTTTTCTCTCACTGCAAATACATCATAATAGAGCTAAGTTTATTCCTCCCCTTATTCTCACACAGAGGCTAAATCCACCCTGCCCTGGACTAACCAAGACGATAAGGAGTAACCAAGATGGATCCCTTCTGGGCAGGCACCCCCAGCCCATTTTCCTTGGAGCTGACATGCCTAGAAGGTGGTTAGAGGCTTGCTCCCATTGGAGGGCTGCAAAGCGGCTGAGAGTAACATCTTGCAGCCTTGCATCTACCTGCCTGTCTTCTAAGACTCTGGTCTCCTAGTTCTTAAGTTCATTCTTTATCTTAACCTAAATAGCACAGTCTTGCTCCATCTGTGGGAAGGGAAAGGAATCAGAAAGTGGAGGAGTGACCTGTTTATGGACGTCTCCGTGAAAGCATGACATTTGCAAGTCTAAATGTATGTGTTCTGGGCTAAAGATTTGGCTGTAGCTGATCAACTTCTCCATCACCAGACACCTTATCCAGAGGCAGCTTCTGGTCAGGAAAGCTGGGTCCTGAGATAGGAAAGGGAGGAGGCCCTGAAGATGCTGTGCCCACACCCCAGTCCCAAGGTTCAAGCTACAGCAACCCTGGCGGCTCTCGGGGAATTGAGATACAGTGATGTGAGCATTGTTAGTAGAGGCTTCGAGGCCAAGGGCCCCCACTGCCCCATTTTGGGAGCTGCCAATAGTGGCTCCCAAAGTGAGTGCTAAGGGTGTGATGGAAGCAAGCTCTGTGTTCAGTGTTTAGAGAGAAGCATTTCCCTGCTTTTGCCAAGGGTGATTTTTAAGAAACATTGATCAAAAGCTGTTGATATTCACTTACAAATGGATACTCCTTAACCAGTACATATTAACCCATTGTCCAGTTTCTGGAAATGTGACACAAAAGTCTGAAAATGCATAAAGCTCTTCTTCAAAGCATTGTTTGTAGCCATAAATAATTGGAAATGACCTAAATGTTCAACTAGAGAGGAATGGCTAAGTAAATGATGGCACATGTAGTAATGAAATATTATGGGCCCATTAAAAATTGTGGTCACATTATGCAGCATGGGAAATGGTGATGATGCATGTTAGGTAAAAAAAACAAAACAAGATTTTATAGATATTACATCAACAAAAATGTAAATATGCATATCAAAAGAGTGAAGTGGTTATAGTGATAGTGATATAGGATTACAGGCAACTATTTTTGTTATATTTTTCATACTTAAATAATACCTGTGTTATTTTCACAATTTAAAAAAATGAAAGTGAATCATTATTTTTAGGATATAATCTCCCAATGCATGAGAAACCTTCTGAACTTTGCCATGGTGATATTGGTGGAGAGAAGTCATCCTTGGGATGGTTAAGAGGACTCTCGGCATATATGAACATGCCCATTAATCTTCAAAGATATAGATTTTTAAATTTTTTATTAAGTAAATGTCAACCCAGAACCATTTGAAATATTTATTAAAAGCAGTATTTTTACCTCACCATATAAAGTAGGTAAGTGGCCTGGCACTCAGCATCCATTTAAACTCCTCTTTGTATGGCAGTTGCTAGAAAATTTTAAACTACAATTCTCTGACTCCTTTGCAGCTAGGAGTCTAGAGTGAATTATATTCTGCCAATTAGATGAACTAAGATCTCTGGGAGATGGAAGGGAGATAGAGGCCACCTTCCTGCTGCTTTCATCTTCCATTGCCTCGCATGGTCTTAGACATTTGGGTTAGGAGCAGTTGGGGTAAGCAGTAGCTTCTCTATTGCAACAGCTTTGCAGTGTCTGGTCTCCAGGTGCATAGTTGTTGCAAGGCAGTGCAGCAGGGGGAAGGCAACAGTGATGGCAGCATCCTCCTGAGCCCTGCACCATCTTTTCAGTAGATGGCCTTTCTCACCTAGGTGGCGGAGGTTCCCTTTAGGAGGCCAGTTTGGACCTGGGAGTTATCCCTGAAGGCCCAGCAAAGGGTCGGCTCCTCGCCCATTCTAACAATATTGTGTATAGTAGACAAAGCCTGCTTAGAGACAGGTGGCATCCCAGACACTATAACCAAGTGTTTTGGCCACACTGCCAACAAGGAAGGAGCAGTGTGGGGACCCCGGAGCACAGCAGTGATCCTCTCCTGTGGGATGGGCCATAGACTCAGAATGACTTGTTGGTTCCACCAAAGTCTTACGTAAAGTTCCTGAACGTTGAAATTCTGAAAATGTCATGATATTACCCTAGCCCTACCGGGAACCAAGCTCCACATAGAAAGAGGAAGCCACGGAGGGTGTCTGGTGAAGAGCACTTGACTTGGAGTCATGGGCCCATCAAGCCCTGCTTCTACCATTTACTAGCTGTGTGACTCCGGCCAATTTGGTTGGCATGCTCCCTCGTCTGTTGACCATGGGCACTGATACTTAACACATGGTGAATGAAATATAGAGAAAAGTAGACTAAAATCTTATGAGGAATTATATATAATTTGGGGGTATTGGAAGAAAAGAGGACGGAAAGGAGTTATGGGTACAGAGGGAGGAGGCTCAGGCTTTCTCCAAAATCCTACTTTTTTCACTGTCATTCCTCTAGACCTGACACCTGTCTGCCCACACAGATACCTTAACACCCTACCCAGATGTAGCCAGTGCTGTGTCTCCCCTGGGGCCCCGCCAGTGCTCTACCAGAGAGGAGGCCCCTTCCATGGAGCAGCTGCAGCGGGTGATGGCTCCTGGAGCCCCATGTGGTGTGGCCCCAGGGTGGAGCCTGTGCTTTCCGTCCTTGTTTTTGTCAGTGTACGCCATCCACATCCCCATTAATTTTAAGCCAACTTTGTATGTTGAGCCAGCGCCTCTGGACATGCAGGTCCCTCCCCCATATACAGATCTGTCCTGTAATCCCAGAATTCCTTGATTTCCCAAGGATGGCACTGTGTTTCTTTAAAGTTTAGACTTAGGCATGAGTCTCCCATTGAGAAAGAAGAAATGGAGATAAAAATCTAGCCATACTCAGGATCCCCAGACCAAATAAGGAGAGGGTGGGAGAGAGCCATCAGAGGCAGAGAACCCAGCACCATCTCACTTTACCAGGTGTTGTTTACAAAGGGCGCTGACTGGCCAGGGTCAGAGCTGGAGGGTGAGAGAAGTGTTGACCTGCCCTGCCTCCTAAGAGCCTGGCAGGCTCTTGCTTCCGCAGACACCACTGCTGAATCCAATCGTCCCATGTGATGTGGACCGGATGCCACTGCTGTGAGACCGTCCTCTGGCTCCTGTGCCATCCTCCTTGGCAGCTGCCCCATGTACCTTTACTGAAGAGACCCAACAGTGCCCAGCCGGTGTGGCTCAGTGGTTGAGCACCCACCTATGAACCAGAAGGTCACGGTCATATGCCCTGACCGGGTGTGGGCTCAATCCCCAGTAGGGGGCGTTCAGGAGGCAGCCGATCTATGATTCTCTCATCATTGATGCCATATATCTCTATCTCTATCTCTTTCTCTATCTCTATCTCTATCTCTTTCTCTATCTCTATCTCTATCTCTATATATATCAACAGTTCCAGCTGCCCCCTCATCATCCCAGGGGCCACACTGTCTCTGTGCTATTCTCATGTCCACTCTCATTCAAGAGTCTGGCCCCTACTAGATGGCTCAAAGCCCAAGAGGACAGAGGGAGTAGGAGAGGAGAGCTGAGGTCCCAGTGGAGGCAAAGGATTGGCTAAATTCTGGGTAGGGTGTGACATATCTGTGTGTTGCAGGGGTTGGCCTTGGGCCATCCTTAGCCACCCACCCCAAGAGCTTACATCTATCATTTTCTGCTCTCCTCACCTTTTCCCACAAATATATTCAATTCTCTACAGCCTAATACAATCCCTCTTCCCAGCTGCACACCTGAAGCTATGGTCCTATTTCTCTCCTGGTTCTGAAGTCTCTGAAAGAATAATCTCCCCTCGCCTGTCTCTCCTTACTCACAATGCACTCATTCCCCAAGGCTTGGTTCTGGTAGTTTCTAACCCCTGCACTTTTTCAAAGGTGCTCTTGAAAAGGTCGCCCATGACATGAATGCTAAATCAGCCCCCTCTCCCAGTGTGACCTCTTAACCTCTGCCTCCTCAGGAATTCCTCCCTCACTTTTGCTCTCTTCCTGTCCTTCCCACATGGCCCTCTGCCCCCTTCACTACCTCTCCTTCCTCTCTACAGCCTGTCCTCGGAGCTCCTCTCTTGGCTGCTCTTTCTTTGGATCTCTCTTCCATTCCACATTCCCGTCACCAACCCTGGTTCTGTTTCAAATCCTGCCTTCCTCTGCATCCCAGCCCCACATTTGCACGTGCCTCCTAGACAGTGCTGCCTGAATACTCCACCTGAACCTAAAGCTTACAAAGTGTATCAGTGTCCTGGGGCTGCCATCACAAAAGACCACAAAATGGGTGGCCTAAACCCGTGGTCGGCAAACTGTGGCTCGCCAGCCACATGGGGCTCTTTGGC